TGGCTAAGATCAAGAGAACAAATGATACCAAATGTTGGAGAGGATGTGGGAAAGGGGAACACTCATCCACTGCTGGTGGGGTTGCAAACTGGTTCAGCCCCTATGGAAGGCCGTATGGAGAACTCTTAGAAAACTACAAATGAACCTACCATTTGACCCAGTTATACCACTCCTTGGCATATACCCAAAGAACTCATCCTATTGCAGAGACACTTGTACATCCATGTTTGTTGCTGCTCTTTTCACAATAGCTAAGAGATGGAAGCAACCTAAGTGTCCCTCAGTTGGTGAGTGGATAATGAAAATGTGGTTCATTTATACAATGGAGTTTTACTTAGCAGTAAAGAAAGATGAAATCATGAAATTTGCAGGTAAATGGATGGAACCAGAAACTGTTATACTAAGTGAAGTAACACAGACTCAGAAAAAAAATCGACATATGTTCTCCTTCATATGTAGCTCCTAGAACCAAATCCTGGTAAGTGAGTATGTATCCAGACAGTATAACTACAGGAACTAGGATAATGAAAAGGAACCAGGGAGGTAAAGGAAAAGAAATAACCTGAAAGAGAAGAACAGTAGGAAACAGGCCTTAATAAGGGAGATATGGATAAAAATTGGGTTAGTTTAAGGGAGTGGGGAGGGAAGGGTATACAAGGAACCTAGGGGATAAAGGGAAAGAAGGAGCTCTAGAGAGGTAGGACTGAAGGAGAAGGGTATTATTAAGGGAGAAGGGGGAAATGGGGGCACCTTAAGTGGGAAAACCATGATGGAGGAGGGAGACAATGGTAGCCCAACAACCTACTGACAAATTATACATACAACCAGATCAAAGAATGTAATATATGTCTAGGCAGGGTTGATCTGAGTGTGTTTGGTCTTTGCCCAAGCTTTATCTACATGGCACAGGGTAATTAAAATTATCCTGTTGGAAGACTGGTGGAACTAACCTTCTTGGATGTTTAACAGCCATACTATGAGGACTATACTAATTTGGACAGAGGGACATAAAGGACAGTTTTTATTTCTTTCTCTCCAAGGTCAATCAAGTTCCAGGGGACTATGAGTATCTTTTAAAATGTCCTATAACTGTGGTGAGTCACCTGACCTCTTGATGAAGGAGGCTGTCGAGACCCCACCAGATGGCCTGAACCAGTGTGCATTCTACAAAGAAGAAGGTCAACACAGAGGAAACATTTCCTCCAAGCTTCCAAGTGAAGCCAGCCATGGTCGAGCAGGACTTTAACTTATCTTCACATAGACAGAACTGGTAAAAGAATGGAGTCAGGGGCACTTCCCAAGCCCATGTGAACCCTGAGGAACAGATCCTCAAATGACCTTAAGAGTAAAAATAACCTGGTTTATCTGGGCTAATTGTAGTGTCTTAAACACCCAAAAGGAAAGTATAACCAAAGATTAATGGGGTCAATATAATATTTAAGAGGCCATATGTATAGCTAAAGGATACATAACAAGAAACACTGCCAGACAGGAGATACTTTCTTTTGAGTTATTAGCCAGGTTGGCCCAAAAGACTCCCAGACAGTAACCAAGCATAGAACTGAGAAAATGAAAAGCAGATCCCAATCTCATCTAAAGGAATATTGACAACTGATTGGTGCTAGATGAGAAACAGCTTATCTTCCTAAAGCAAGGCTCTCTAGGTAGACTGACTGCATTCAGCAGCCAGACAAGCACTGGGGAAAGGCTGGGGTCACCGATTACACAGTGGACAGTAACAGGGATGAAAGAGTATGTGGGCTCCAGTGGGGGGACGGAGTCTATGGGAGGATGGCATTTGGGAAGTAGGTATAGAGATGAATAAGATTGGGTGGGATGTTCTGTATAATATACACAAAAAAATCAACAAATTTTTAAAAAGTCATATTTGAGGAGGAAGCATAAAAATTTACTTCATGTTAATTAGTAGAGGTGACAAACATTACCATTGAAATCTGCCTGATGACTATATATACATACTCAGGTACCAAGGATCTGAGTGCAATCAGCTGTGACTAGAAATAATTGGATACATAAAGACCAAAGACACATGTGAAAACTTCAAGTGGTAGTAGCGTTAAAAATGTAGGAAACAGCATATTTTAAAATTAAATGGAGATCTTCCTTAAAGGGTAAAAACTCATTCAATTTTATGTCTTGCAGGGCTTATACTGAGTTCAATACTGTATAACTGTATTAATTCAACTGTGAACCTAGGAACTAGCACCCACTTGTGAAAGAGATGTACTCTTGCTCTGGAGTGTGTTTCTGAATATGTTAAAGCTGTAATGAAATGCTTCTTCTAATCACGTGCTTATTAAAAATAAAAAGGAGTAATACGCTAGTAGGAATGGTGGTGCAGACCCATACTCTGTCTTAAAGGTGTCACTACAACCTGACCCCCACAGGCCACACACAATGCTGTGTGCCAATGGTGTTTGGATAAAAATGGTTATGCTTCCAGGAGCTCATTCTTTAGGGATGAAATACTTCTGGGGTCAGCCCCTGTAATCGGACAACTGAAGTGTTCTGAATTTGGCAACAGAAAGAAAAGAAGAGCATACCATAGTACCTTCAACCAGCTCCTGCATTTTTATGTGATGAATCTCTGTTCAGGTCAGAATTATTTTTTAATTTTTTTCTTTTTGAGCCAGGGTCTTCCTGTAGCCCCAGCTGTCCTGGAACTCACTTCGTACACCAGGCTGGCCTTGAACTCAAGAGATCCTATTGCCTCTGCTTCCCAAGTGCTGGGATTAAAGGCGTGCGCCACCACGAACAGCAACTGATTGATTTTTATGTGTATGAGTGTTATGTCTGCACGTGTGTAAGTGCATCTGTGTCGTCTGTGCCGGAGGACAGAGGAGGGTATCAAATCCCCTGGAACTGGAGTTACAGACAGTTGTTAGCTGCCATGTGGGTGCTGGAATTTGAATTCAGGTCTTCTGCAATAATAGCCAGTGCTGTTTCAGCCCCAACAGGTCAGAATTTTTGAGTGACTATTAAACCACATGAATGGACGGTTAAGTGGAACACATCACCAACAAAGAAAGGTATTCAAGATCTTCTTGCAGTTCAAACAGTGTAACTGAATTATTTCATAAATGAACATTTGGAATGTTCATTCCAAAGAGAAGTTAAAATTAGGTCAAAGATTTTCCCATAATTATTTGGGGGAAAAGAACTGATAATGTTAAAACTGGAAAGCCCCACCTCTAGAAGAGCCATGCATCTACTCAAACGCAGAAGCAGCTTCTCACCTGGAGTCCATCTTTGTAATGGGTTTGTCTTCAGCAGTCACTCCTGTTCATGTGCTGAGGTTTTGTAGGTCCTCTAGTACTTAACCTGACCACACAGACTCACTTCACCTTAGGTAACAGCCTGGCACACAGAGTAGTCTACAGGTCTGTTGTTCCCAAGTATCCCAGTCAGGACTGCTTGGCTTATCTCTTGGCATTCAAAGCTTTTACCCCACTGAACTGTGAACCTTAAATACCCCATCTTTGAACTTTCTCATCCTAAAAGGTTTTCTGATGATAGATTATTTGTTATAGGACTATGGTAATGGTTTGCTTAGCTGTTTACTTTTGGATTTTATTTTTTGTCTTTTTTAAACAGGGTCTCCCAGTAGCCCCAGCTGGCCTGGAACTCACAGAGATCCGCCTACCTCTTCTGGGAATAAAGGTGTGCACCACCATGCCCAGCTTATTTTTGGATTTTTAAGACAGGGACTTCTAGGCCAACTTGGCCTTGAACTTCTGATCCTGCTGCCTCAGCCTGCAGATGTTAGTAGTCCAGCTATGTGCCACCAGGCCTGGTCAAGAGTGGTTTGGGCTTATGAGTAAAGAAATTAAAATTTCGATATGCAACACGGAAGTGGGAACAACAAACTGGGAAGCCACACAACCTGCAGGGATGACGCCAGCACAGCACGGCACAGCATGGCACGGCATGGTAGTGGGGAATGCTCACGCACCTGCGCTCCTGTAGCTCAGGTCGCCAAGGATCTTATCTCCAACCTTTCTAAGTTTCCAGTGCTGCCGTAGTCTCAAGAGCTCCGAGTTGAAGTCTCGTTGTAGCTTGTTTTCTTGGTTCTCAGCCACTGACTTGGTCAGTCTTTCTGCTCCCTTCAGCAGGATCTGAGCTGCTCCAGCAAGAGACTTCTTCTTGGAAATCAGCTGCAACGTCTGAGGGTTCTACCAAAAACAACCTGTCAATGTCCCACCAAAGCTGGGGTTCCACATTATTTAGATGACTTTGAAAGTACACATTTTCTCAATCACCAAATACTTTACTCAGGAGTAATTTAAAGAACACAAGGCAGGAGGAGATGGCTCAGCTGGTTTAGAGCTTGCCATACGTGAGGACCTGCTGAGAGCTCGAGTCCCAGCCCCACGCAGAGGCCTGTGCAGCAACATGCACCTGTAGTCCTGGTGCTGGGGAACAGACACAGGACTCAGGCTCCTTGTCAGTCAATCTAGTTATCTGCAAGCTGAGAAAACCTGACACCCTGCCCCAAATAAAATAATAATAATAAATAAAAAGCAAGGTGAAGAGTGACTGACAAAGACACCCTGTCACCTTTGGCTTCCACACACACACACACACCACACACTACACATACTACATACCACACACACCCCTACACACATAACACACACACACACACACACACACACACACACACACACCCCTACACACACCACACACTACACATACTACATACCACACACACCCCTACACACACACCACATACACCCCTATACACACCTACAAACATACATACACACACACCTACACACACCACATACAAACCACACACACACTACCACACACCACACACACCACACATACACCTACACAAACCTACACACACCTACACACATATGCACACACCACAGACACACCACACACTACACATACTACATACCACACACACACCACACACACCCCTACAATCATACATACACACACACCCCCACACACACCACACTACACATACACAAACACACACACACCTACACAAACCTACACATACCACACACACACCTACACACATATACACACACTACAGACACACCACACATACAGACACATACACACCACACACACACCTATATATACACACATCACACACTACACACAGACACAGATACACCACATACACACCACACACACACCACACATACACCACACAGACAGCACACACATACCACATAGACAGACACACACCACACACTCTCACACCACACACACTACACACTACACACACACCACACACGCACACCACACATACTACACACCACACACCCCTACACCACACACATACACTATACACTACACACACACCACACCCACTACACACACACACACCACACACATACACTACACACCCACCACACACGCACACCACACACTACACACACCACACACAGACACACACACCCCACATGACATTTAGAAAAAATAATCTTTTGTTCTTGTTGATTTTTGAGACAGGGTCTCCCTGTAGCTCCAGCTGGCCTCGAACTCACTATGTAGACTAGGCTGGCCTTGAACTCACAGAGATCTGCCTGCCTCTGCCTCCTGAGCGCTGGGATCAAAGGCATGCACCACCACGCCCAATTTGAAAAGTCTTAGATCCTGCAAAAAATTTTTTTTGTTTTAAACAACAAAAAATAACAACTTTCTTTACCCAACTTACAAAAAGACCTATGCTAAGCCCAAAACACCACAATGGCCCAGAAGCCAGAACTTAGCACTGCATCTTCTTGGCCAACCTGGTCAGGGCCCCTCCTTACATGCTGCAGGCCAGCTCCCGCCCAGCGTACCCCTTTCTTGGCACTCACACTTCTCATCAAAACCCAATCCCGGCTTATGTAAGCTACGCATAGAGCCCTACTCACATGTCATACCACAGCCTGGTTTATGATGGTTCATATGATGATGTAAGTGCTGACTCTGAGAAGCCTGAGCGTAAAACCGTATTATCACAACCTACCACAGCATCTTGGGAATTGAGGCTGGAACTGTTCATGCAGTGCTCCAAAATTAACCATACTCGCTGACTGCTAATCTTGAAAACTGACCACAGATCAAAACCATACGTAGTATATGGAATACCACAATCAGTCATTTGGATATTTAGCTGAGTGGATACACTTCCAAAGAGCCAAGCCTAATAAAAGTTGAGTTTTCTGACTGTAGGAGAGTCAAAGTGACTAAGGAGTGTCATGAGAAGGCCACAGTTATCTAGCCACACCATCTGAACATGCCTAATTGCCTCTGATGTCGGAAGCAAAGAAGGTTGGGCTGGGCATTGCTCCCATTAGGGAACCTAATTCAAAGAGCTGCAGAGACCAGTGGCTGGGGAAACACAGCAGGCTGGCGGCACCCTGCCCCCGGGAATCTGCGGTTCTAGCCTGGACTCTCACTCAGGCTCACTGCAATCTGAACACACTGCAGATCTCTTTGATTAGTTTTCATACCGAAAACGAAAGATGATGATTTCATAAACTCCGCAATCTCCCAGCAGTGTTCCTAGATCCCAAAACTATTAGTACACGAGGAATTATAAGCAACTAAATTTATTCACAAGTGGGCTCTAGCCATCACCACCTCCTCTCCTTGCCTTACTCAGTCACTCTGGATGCTTGTTTTCCAGGGATCCAAACGGTCTCCCTAGTTTATGCCCATTCACCAATTCACCATCTGTGGCCCCTTCCACTGTCAATTCAAATACTAAATATACTCTTCATCAAGTACCAACGACTCTACTCAGATATCAGTAAGTCCCTTACCTTACTTTTCTAACCAGACCTTCAAAAAAGGAACGGTTTAGAAGGAAGAACTGCACTTCAGGGACATAAAATAACTGCTAGCAGCTACTCAGTCAGCCAAGACAGAGGTGGGATCTGAACCCAGGTCTGGTGACTGCCTCCTACGCTATATCATCATCACATCTTTGTGCAATGTGCCAGAATCAGGAGAAATGTGGACTCTGGTAAGAAACGAGATGCAGTTTTGCGCCTTTGCTCTGAGGACCATCTGTCCTCAAATCTTCATCAGGTAAAGGCCACACCTACCTGTTTCGGAGGAAGTGCGTCCTGAGAGACGGGGTCAAGGGTCATGAACTTTTTGTCCCTGACAATACTGAGGACGTCATAGAGCACACACATCTCTGTGAGGGCGCTTCGCAAATTGTTCCTCACTGAGTCCCAAGGCCACAGGGAAGGCTGAAATTTCACCAACCCTGGAAACAAATGAAAAGCAGGAGCAACGTGTGTGGTGATGTGAACAGAGACAGAAGGTGCTCACCTGCAGGGCTGAGGGTTCCGAAAGGAGAAGTCGCACGTTCTCAAACTGCTGCCTTCATCTCGTTCCCTCCAGTCTTTCTTGAGTCTTTGTTAAATATTTATTTTTACATGTATGAACGTTTTAACTGCATGCATGAATGTGCACCACATACATGTGCCCGGCTCCCATGGAGGAGGCTGTCTGATCCCTTCGAACTGGAGTTATAGATGGTTGTTAGCCACCATGTGGGTGTTGGGAACTAAACCTGAGTCTGTTGCCAGAGCAGCCAGTGCTTTTAGCCACTGAGCCACTTCTCCAGCCCTGTCTTTGTTAACACTTAACACAGCATTCCTGCTATGGAAAAAGAAATGGCTGTCGACCTTCCACAAACTTACCATTGTATCTTAGGTAAGCATTCAAATATCCTTTTGAACCTAGGGCCTCACGCATGCCAAGCAAGCAGTGAACTATATCTCCAGCCCTGTCAAAGTTGAATAAGTAACTGCTGCAGAGGATTTCCAAACTGCAACAATGTGCAAAGCCAAATATGGCCTCTAACAGCTGCAGCGCTACTGGTTGAGGAGCATACCTTCCTGTTAGAGGTTCTTCTTTTTTTAATACAATTTTTTATTTAACAAGAAGACAACTATCTAGAGTTATCTTTCACATTTAAAATCCAGTTATAGGAGATGACTGACTTTAAGCACCACACTTATTAACCACAAAGAATCTTTGTTTAAATATCTTCAAGATGAAAAGTATAGACTTTTACAAGTATAGACTATTAAAAGTCCTTAAAATACCATGTACAACCTGATGAAACAAAATTTTACCAAGGGGCAGAGTTTACTGGCCACGTTCACCTGCAGCCAGCTGAAAGTATGTCTGTAATCCCAGTACTTAGAAGGTAGAGCAAGGAGGAACGGAGTCCAAGGTCATCTTCAGCTACAAAGCAAGTTCAAGGCCAGCCCCGGCTACACGAAATCCTGTCTGAAGAAACTATGACAGAATACTCAGGGGTCTGCTCAGCTGTCCACTTGACTAGAAACAGATCAAAAACAGAGGTTGTGGCTGCATGAATGATCAAAGCATGAAAACGACTGCTTTCTGCTTTTGGGGCACTCACAGACTGATTGAAAAACCATGAGCATTCAAGAAGAGAGAAGGAGGTGGGAGACGGAGGCCGTACACACTGCTGGTTACTGGCAGAAGGTGAGCCACAGTTAACTGTCCAAGAGAATGAGCAGAAATGGAAGCTGTCTGTCACTTGTCCCTGTCCAAATCCAATGAACTGGTATTTTGCTTCTGGGCCTCAGGCTCTCTAGCAGTCTGAACCACTGACCGTCTCTGCTCCCATTCCCTGTGACGCCTGCTGACCAGGACACCACTGTCCCCCGCCGCTCCAGGGCCAGACTTTGGCTGCCAGCATCAGGTGTCAGGCTTCCCACTGCAATTGCCCTCTGCTTCCCATCGGTGGTTCCTGAATACATGCTTACTACAGAGTCAGAAAGACAGCCTGGCGTGGTGGCGCACGCCTTTAATCCCAGCACTTGGGAGGCAGAGGCAGGTGGATCTTTATGAGTTCAAGGCCAGCCTGGTCTACACAGTGAGTTCCAGGACAGCTGGGGCTACAGGGAGACCCTGTCTCAAAAAGAAAAAATCAGGGAGCAAAAGCCAAACCTCTCCTCCATTCTCAGCCCTGACTCTCCACCCTACTTTGACAGAACCACTCCAAACGTTTTTCTGTCAGTTTACACCTATGCTGTAGCTCCTTCCACCCCTTGTCCCTTAAGGACAACAGCCTTCTGATCACTGATCCTTAGCAGGCTCCTGGCACTTGGCTCACTAAGAGGTAACAGGCTTTGTTGATGCAGAGGCTTGAGGAGGGGAGAGTCTGCTTCCAGAATGCCGGGGGAAGACCATTAGCTGTTTTCTGGAACTGTGGGACAGGTTTTCTGCCCCCTTTATATTTCACCGTACATCAAAGGAGGTCTGTACTGGACCAGTCACCTCGGCCTTGGGAAGGCCATGCTGTGCTGTTTTTCTTACTATTATGATGGAAAAATTCAAAGGAGATGCACACTTAAAATTCTGACACATGCTAAACTGTCTTTACAACACTGGATATAACTTTTTAATTTTCTGCCAGGTTTATGAAAATAGTATTAAGTTTTATTTTTTATTTATTCTGAAACGGTGTCTCACTACCACACCAGGCTGGCATGGAATGCTAAGAAATGCCCCTGCCTCTGCCTGGAAGTGCTGGGGTCACAGGTAGGAGTGCAAGGCTGTACTGCCACATGCCACACAAACTGCCACGTTTACACCAGCCTGTGTCACACTCCCTATGAACTGTCATGTTTACACCCGGCCTGTGCCACTCTCCCTATGAACTGTCATGTTTACACCTCGCCTGTGCCACACTCCACCTGACCTGTGCCACACTCCACATGAACTGTCATATTTACACCCGGCCTGTGCCACACTCCCCATGAACTGTCATGTTTACACCCGGCCTGTGCCACACTCCCCACGAACTGTCATATTTACACCCGGCCTGTGCCACACTCCCCACGAACTGTCATGTTTACACCCGGCCTGTGCCACACTCCCCATGAACTGTCATGTTTACTCCCGGCCTGTGCCACACTCCCCATGAACTGTCATATTTACACCAGGCCTGTGCCACACTCCCCACGAATTGTCATGTTTACACCCGGCCTGTGCCACACTCCCCACGAACTGTCATGTTTACACCCGGCCTGTGCCAACACTCCAGATGAACTGGAGTGATCTTTAAGAGTCACCTGTCTCGGCTGGGCGTGGTTGCGCACGCCTTTAATCCCAGCACTGGGGAGGCAGACGCAGGAGGATCTCTGTGAGGTTGAGATCGGTGAGTTCCAGGCCATCAGGGGCTGCAGGGAGACCCTGTCTCAGAAAATGATCACCGGTGTCTCCGGCTGTCGGCTGCAGAGAGCTGAGCCCGGCCACCTCGGCCTTCACTCTGCAGTCCACGCAGCCTGCTCCACTCGTGCCCACACTGCACAAAGACGTCCCACGACCGCACAGCGCAGGAGCCCCTCCCGGCCCGGGGCCCTCTGCACCGGAGGCACCGTCCTCGGGATCCAGCCCGGTCCCGGACGCTCTGCACCGGAGCCCCCGCCCGGCCTCACCGTCCTCCTCGTCCTGCTCCGCGCCGCCCGCCCAGTCCTGCGCATCGCCGTCGGGCCCCGCCGCCTCGTCCTCCTCGGAGCCCGAGCCCTGGCTGAAGTCGATGCGCTGCGCTAGGCGCGCCAGGTTCTGAGACATGGACAGCGGCTGCAGGTAGGTCTCGGTGCCATCCAGGCCCACCTCCTGCACCTGCTTCTCGCAGGCCGACTCGATGCTGATGCGCACGGCGCGCACGCCCGACATGCTAGCGGCACAGCGGGGTCGCCACGGAGCCGAGCGGGGTCGCCACGGAGTGGGATCCCAACGCCACGTTCGGGAAAGCCCGACGCCGCCGCTCCAGCCGGAAGCCCGACGCGCCGCCGCCCCAGAGTGCTCCGCGGCGCTCCCGCCCACCCCCGCGCGTTCGCGGAACAAAATGAGTGGGGGCGGAGCGCCAGCTGCACGGACACTTCCGGTGAGCTGCACGCGTGGCCTAGCGCCTCCGGCTGAGCGAGGCCCCGCCCGCTGAGGGAAAGGGGGCGGTCCCCTGGCGCCTAGCAGAGGCGGTGGGAGCTGGTTAGTTCAGTTAGGTTGGTATGGTTAGCCGGTTAGTTAGGTTAGTAGGAATAGCTGGTTAGGTTGTTGAGGTTAGTTGGTTATGTGGGTGCCGGTGGTTGGAAGGTTAGGCCGGTAAGGTTAGTAGGTCAGTAAGGATAGCTGGTTAGGTTGGTTGGTGCGGGTGGCTGGGAAGGTTAGCTGGTTAGGTTGGTAAGGTTACTTGGTTAGGTAGGTTGCTTACTTGATTAGTTACTTCTTAGCTGATTTTTGAGACATGCAGCTTTCTGTTCTGGTTGATTCGGGCTGGGACGCCAGCTCACGGGAGGGTGCAGCCACGGTCAGTTGAACACGTGGGATGCCCTCACAGACGCAGAGGCGTGTTTCCTAGGTCATTTCACATTGGGTGAAGTTGACAGATTAACCATCACGGCTTTACAGGTACTACACTTAGTACCTGAATAAAAAACCGACGCTTGACTTTAGTAAATGGGCCTCAACTCGGAGGACACCGCTCCTCCAGATGTCTCGGAACTGCTCCTGAACCGCGCCCAGTCAGGCCACGACCGTCGTTTATTCAAACCGTTTCTCCAGCTTCAGTTGGGGAACTACAAGCTTGAATCCAGCCTTGTCGGTCTTGCCTCTTCACCGTGGTTGTAGAACATCTCACACAATGCCAAGCCGTCTCCCAGCCTTCACGTATTCCGTGAAGATGCGCACTGCCTTTCAGCAATTTGGTCTTTTTAAAAAATATTTTATAATTTTTTTATGTGTATGTGTGTATTGTCTGCATGTAGGTAAATGCACCCGTGTCATGCAATGCCCGTGGAGGTCAGAAGAGACTGTCAGATGCCCTGGAACTAGAGTTACCTACAGTTGTTGACTGCTATGTGGGTGCTGGGATTCGCACCCAGGTCTTCTGCAAGAACAGTCAGTGTTCTTAACCCCTGAGCCATCTCTCCAGCCCCTCAGCAATTTGATCTTAATCCTCGAGCATACCCACATTCCTTCCCTGTCTTGGGGTAGAGTAGCCAATTGGGGTTCCCAGGAAACATCAGGTGCCAGGTCACAAAAGCATATGGTTCAGTGAGTTTGCCAAAGTTGACGAAAAGTCACTAGTCCAGATTCTGTGCATTTTATAGGTCATACCAAGCCAGGAGTGGTGGCACAGGCCTTTAATGCCAGCACTTGGGAGGCAGAGGCAGGCAGATCTATGTGAGTTCAAGGCCAGCCTGGTCTACATAGTGAATTCCAGGCCAGCTGGGCTACAGGGAGACCCTGTTTCAAAAAACAAAAAAAACAACAACAAAAGAAAGCCATTTCTACAACCATTCACAGTAAGTTCTTCAAGTTTATGTACACCCTCTTTCTGCTACTCAAGTGAATAAGCACAGACACTGTAGATGGGGTGGTTGGACTCTAGCGACAGTGGGGCTCTCACTTGCTATGGAAACTGCTTCCAGCTAAAGGACCATCAGTCAAACAGCCAGAAGCACTCCTTCAAAACTGCAGAAAGCAGGGGCTGGAGAGATGGCTCAGTGGCTAAGAGCACTGGCTGCTCTTGCAGAAACTGGGGTTCGAATCCCAGTACTCACATGTGGCTAAGAACTGTCCTAACTCCAGGTCCAGGGTATCTGACACTCTCTTCTGACCTCTGAGGGCATTGCATGACATGGGTGCACTTCCATACATGCAGGCAATATACTCATACACATAAAAGTAATAATTTTTTAAAGCTGCACCGGTCATCTTAAACACTCCAAGGACATCTTGAGATGACTACAGCAAGTCTGCAATTCACTCACTGCTCCTGAAGGCACATCCCCAGCCAGGGCTTTGGGGACAGTTCGTACTGGGACAGATTTTTTGCTCTTCCAAGCCTGGAGGAACTGTTTCCACCTTGGCCAGGGGGGCACACTTCTCCAGGTGGAGGAGGGCTTGCTGTGACTGGTGCCTCATGCCTTAATGACAAAATGAACAGCTATCATTGGCCAGACAAACGGCTATGATTGGCCCCTAGGGCTGAATAAGCAGTGAGGAGGATCTGCCTCTTCTGGTGCTGCAACATCAGGTCCTATGAAGACTTGAGTGGTTTTTTCCCAGCCCACTTATAGTAATGCAGGCTGAGCTGGACACAGGAAGAAATACCAGTTGTTTGGCAACCGTGGCTGACAGCTTGGTATCTGCAAAAGCCCCCAGCTCCGGGCCAGGATTTGCTCCCCTAGGAACCATCAAACCTGACCTCATTGAGTACATGAAATCTCACAAGACTTAAGTAAGGAGGTAAGGGAAACCATCACCCAGTGTATGTGAGCCCCATGCTGCCCCTCACCAGATACCATGTTTTTCATGTAATATTTGTATTCCTTAAATTTTCACACATGTACATAGATGTATGTTGATCATACCCAGTTATTATGACCTCCCTCCATCTGATACTGGGTTCCTGAACAGCTGGGCTTTTGACTGGTGACCATTTCCCAAAAGTCCTGACATCCAGCACAAAGCCCACTGGCATCCTTGGCACAGCTCTCTGACAGCTGGAGAGGCCGAGTCCTGTGGAAGCCTCTGACCTGCCCACTGATGGTGCCCACAGGCCTGAATCCCCCTGGGGTAGCGCTAAAGCCTCAGACTACTCACTGATCCCACCCAGCAATCCTGTCTGCTGGTGGTGGGTGGGGATGCTTGCCTGGGCAATCGTAATTGGGCCCTGTCTAGTGTCTGGACAGCCCTCCAGGTGCCCTGGCTTGAAATACATCCTGCAAAGGCAGGCACCCCAAGTAGTCATGACCACAGTACTGAAAGCTGAAGGGAATTCAAAGTTCCCAAACAGCCAAGACAGGAAGAAAACAAAGTTGAAGCAGGAACTATGGACGGAGCCTGATTAGAGAAACATTCTTCATTCTTGGAATCCTTTGGTCAAGAGTGGGCCCGATCTGTTCCGATTTCTCCCAGAACTGTATGTCTGTCCTCTTCCCTATTCTGACAAAGTCTCCTCTCTGTTGAACAGCATCTCAAGCACAGCATGGGAAAGACATGAGCAACCTTTGATAATAGTCTTTAGAAAGGAAGAGGTTGCTTTTCTGACTCTGACTCAGAACAGTGTATAAAATTACAAACCCATGTCCTCGACCTACACCCCCACGTGTTGCTTTCAACATTTGTAGGGGAGACACTTCAATGGTGGTGTTTTCAACACCATTGTCACCTCTTACATATACATTGTTCCGAGTCGGGCACAATCGAGTCACAAATGGGGAACATGGTAGAAGATTATGTGTTCAGCTTTGCTTGTAAGAATTAATTACATTGGGATTCTAAATCATTGTAGGACTGATTACATTGTTTTTCTTAGGAGCACATAGTTCTACATGTTAAACATATGATTAACTTGATTTATAAGGCTATGTAGAATTTCAGTTTGGGCTGCAGAGATGGCTCAGCAGTTAAAAGCACTGGCTACTCTTGCAGAGGACTTGGGTTTGGTTCCCAGCACCCACATGGTGTGGCTAACAACCATCCACAGCTCCAGTTCCAGGAATCCGACCCCTCTTCTGGCCTCCACAGGTTTTGCATGCACAGGTGCACTTACATACATGCAGGCAAAACAGTCCTACACATAAAATAAAAATAAATTTTTTAAAATTTCAATTTGCAACGGCTTGTTATAAAGAGTCTTTTCCAGAAGTTAGTCCCCCAGGGGAGGTCAAGAGAGCAGAGGGCTGTCAGAAGGCTGTGAGGGGATAAGAGAACCTGCAGGCCATCACCAGAGTTCCAGAGAACTGCCAGGTGGTCAGGGCCAAAGGGTCCTAGGTTGGGCACTGGCTGCTGCCAAGGGCCCAGCACTGTGATACCCGAGGCCTGCATGGGGCTGTGATGCTTGTAGGGCTAAGGGTCCCAGTATCTAAGCAGGCATAGGGACTATAGCATTAGAGAGTGCCACTTGCTAATGTTCCCCTGCTGACTGCCACTGCCATTGAGGGACAACGAGAGCTGCTGGACACCAGTGTTTAACTGGCTTCTCCTTGTCTATCTGGGATTCCGATCCAGGTAGAGCTGAAGAGTCCTTAGCCAGCTGATTGCTGGCCAAGTATTAATGCTTCTCGGTTAAATTGAACTCACTGACAAGTCTAATCCCAGCAGTTTTATGTGTTTTGTATGTGTGTGTACAGGTGCCTTCAGGAATGTGAGGGGTTGGTGAGGTGGCTTCGTGGGTAAAGTGCTTGCTGGGAAAACATGAGGACCTGAGTTCAGAGCCCCAACACTGATGTAGAAGCTCTTTATGGCTGGGGGGTCCTGTCACCTCAGTACTGGGGAGTGCAGAGTGGGTCTTGAGGGCTGCTGGTCAGCCAGCCTCTGGAAAGTGAAGCCCCAGGTTCAGTGAGAGACTCTGCCTCAAAACAACATGGTGGAAAGGACAACACTTGAAGCCAAGCACTGGCCTGCCCAGATGCTTTACACATGCCCAGTGCTCAGGGAGGGGTGGGCCCCTCTCACCTGCCCCACTTCTATGAGCATTATCTTCCTAGATATGAATATATTTACTTAGCATTTATTATTTCCAGTAGTTTTGTGATTTTTCAATAAAG